AAAACCAAAGCTCATCCAAACAATTAAAGAGCTTCTTTTTTTTTTTTTTTGTTTGGTTTTGGATAAGATGTTGTATTTGATGGCTAAATGAGACCTTCGGTTTGCCTGAAGCATCGCCTTGGAAATCTGCTGTGTTTTGGTTGCACATGTGGAAGGACGCACATTTTTGAGATGTTTCACGTTGCCTGGATTACAAAGCAACTGGTTTCCCAAGAGGATGATCAGCCAAAGATGCCTCATCAACCTCATGTTTTGTACTGTGAACTCTCAAGTACAGTGCCTGGTTTTAAATATTTTGTTTAATGAACAGGAGGGAAACAAAGCATATGAAGGAGGTGACACCACAGTGCTGGGCAGGGACAAGGAGACGCTGACGTTCGTTGATCTGAGCATCCTGGTGAGCCGTACCTGGGGATGACAGATGTCAAGAGGGCCAAATGTGAACTTGCCATGCTGTTAATTTTCTCTCATCAAAGACAACCATAAAAGTGAAGGAAAGCTATGGTGGAAAAGGGGAAGGGAAAGATTTTTTACACCAAAAGGAAGGAAGAGATGTCCAGCTGCTAAGGGTAGGGGCTGGCAGGACTGCTAAGGGCTGTGATGGCCTTGCTGCATCCCGATGCCATGAGCACGTGCTCCACAAATACCCTGCACAGACAGAAGACAATTCTTCCCTGCAGCACACGGGGTGCTTTTGAAAAGCTCCAGGAAAGTTGGGCTCCGGGCCAAAGCCATTACTGTCTTCACCGCCAGGCAAGTTGGCACAGGAAAGGGGAAGCAGAAGGAGCAATTTATATCTCAACCAGTTTCACTGCACATGGGAAGGCAAAGAGCTGGTGGGTGAGGCCGGCTGGTGGAGAGGGGATGAGTCAAAGGTTGAGACAAGTCCACTGAAGCTGGTGGTCGGGGCACCTCAATGGGCAGAGCAAACCTCAGCCAGATCATATTTTAGAGCAGCAGAGCAGGAGTTGCTGCAAGGTTTGGAGGGAGAGGTGGTCTGCTCAGAGCCCAGCTGACCTCAGCAACCACTACTGAGGACTCCCTTTTGTGCCCTTCCACTTCTGCACCGTGTTCCCCAGCAATTGGACACTCTTTAAAAAAGCTGCTTGGGTCTGCTTACAGGGACTTTCTCCTGCCGGCAGACTTCCTCAAGAATCACTACGTGTCGCCTTGCAAGCCCCTATTGCCTTCCTCGCTCTTCCTCTCCTCTTCACCATGCTAGTTTAAGTGCCGCCTGCTGATAGCATCTGAACGAATGTTGCCTCCAACAAGATAAAATGGACGGAGGAATTCCTAGGTCTCCTTGTCTATGAATTTAGAGGAACCCTTTCCTTTCTTGAAATCTCTGGATGCCAGAGCACCTGATCACACCAGAACTACACCGGCTGAAGTGCCTTAAGGTTTTCACTGTCTTTAAGGTGATTTACTGGGTGCATTGCCAGTCATACCAGCACCGACCTGGTTCTTGGACTGAAAGCCCACAGTCGTGAATGAGGAGCCGAAAATCTTTGAAAAGTGAGTATGTGGGTATGTTTTATGAATGGACTTTGCCAGAGATGATGCTCTGAGTGGGAAATCACTGAAACTCCTTCAAAGAAATAAAGAAGGAAGGGGGACAGTTAAAAGTTGTCCTTCTTGGCTGGGGGTGAAAACATGTTGGCCTGGCTAATGACAAGGTCACTGTTCCCTTTCCACACGGGTACCTGCCTTCCCTGGGCTGGAGGAAGGTGCAGGTAGGCAATTAGGGCTCCTGTGACCCAGGAGTTTGGGAACAGCCAGCCAAGTGTCCTCTTCCGCCAAGGGAAGAATCAGTCACATTTGCCTTTTCAAATGAAGCTGCAGTGTGAGGTTTGGTTGGCGGTGCTCTTCAAGGCTTAGCTGTGCTTGCTGGGAGAAGACATCCAGGTGACGGTTGGAGGTGCCACTTAAATGTAAGATTTGTTTTGCAATCTTACAACACCTTTGAGCTGCACAGCCGGAGTCAGATGTGTGTTTGCAGTACATGCGGAGTGAAAGGGAAGACGTGTGGAGACACTAACCACATCTAACACGAGAGTAACAGAGCCATTTTGCTGCTGCAGATGTTCATGAGGTTAACACGGATTAGCCCACTAACACATCAAAAGCAAGAACATTAAAATTAAGCGGGGCACAGGGCTAAGCAAATAAAAGGTGGTGTTTTCAATGTGAATATGCACATCAGTGAGGGATATCAGCCAAACTAAGTGGTGTCCAGGCACAGAGGCATTGGAAAAAGAAATCTTTGGCATCCATCGCAGCTACCACCCTGTTTCACCAGCTCCTGTTTCTTCACAGTAGGGAAATCTGGGTATTTCAGAAGACTGGATACCACCAAATGCAGCATCCAACATCATAAAGGGGATAGGGGAGACTCTGGGGATATACAGAGCAGTAAACAGAGCCCAGTCTTGGAAAACACCTGAAATAAATCATCGAACAATTTGCAGTGGTGTAGAGGCTATCACGGAGATGGGGATGAGCAGCAAGAGCTTTGTGATGGATGGGTGTTATTCCCACCTGTGACAGGATGGCAAAATCTGTAGTTAGGGTAAAAGTGGTACCTGTCACATAGCTCAGTGTTAATAAAGCTTTTGGCACCGTATCACATGACAGTCTCATAAGCAAACTAAGAAAACACAGTCTAGCTAAAATCATTAGCAAATAACTGTCAACAGTTTGCTGTCAAACGGGAATGATCTATTAAACAGGGTCCTCTGTGGCTTGCCTTGGCTCTGGTATGATGCAACGTTTTAATTACTGGTTTGAATGACGGATTAGAGAATAAACTCATTGAGCTCGCAGGTGACAAACTGAGAGAACCTGCAAATGGGAGAATTCTGGGTGACTCTAATAAATCTAAGCGATAGTCTGAGAAAGGGGATGTAATTTAGGAAGGACAAGCACAAAGCTCTACAATTAGTGTGGACCCGTCATCTGCACAAATACAGGATGAGGAAATCTCCCTTGCAGCAGTCTGGCAGAAAAAGAAGTTGTGGTGGGTATTATAAAAGATCACAAGTTTAACATGTGTGAAATTTAGGGAAAAAAATTATGAAAAAGAAGGTGGCCTCGTTGGAACTCTAATCCAGTGAAAAGTCTTACACGTTGCACTGGGAAGTGTAAACTGGTGCATGAAGGGATGAGATCCTTCCAGTCTCTTCTCCAAAGGGATGGCCTGGGGTCCATGCTCCTCCCTTTTCACTTCAGGGTTCACACAGAAGTGAAGGAGCTTTTAGATCAGATCAGAGAAGTTTCCTAGCATCTAATGTATAGTGAAGAGTTGGAGAACTGCCTCCAGCATCAGCAGCTTGAGCACCATTACCACGATGCATCAAAGCATAGATAGAAAGATACTGCCCTCAGCATCTCGTTGGTGTCTCCACTGGGGCTGGAGAATGAACTCAGTTGCCTCTCCTGATTCTCTCTGTCTCTTTTCTGTCATTTTCATGTACCCTTTGTGGGCGCTGATTCCCTTCACTAGAGCAGAATTGTGGTGTTCAGGCTATGACTTTGCTTTACCATAGAATCACAGAATGGGTTGAGTTGAAAGAGACCTTAAAGATCATCTAGTTCCAACCCCCCTGCCATGGGCAGGGACACCTCCCAGTAGACCAGGTTGCTCAAAGCTAAATATATAGCGATGTCTAGCAGCAAAGGTGACCCAAAGATGCTTTTCCACTGATATCATGTAGGAACTAACTCTACTTCTAAGGATGGTCAACCCCCGGAATGCCTCCAGGGTTTCCAGGATCTCAGTCAACAGTAAAAGCAATAGTAGTGTTGAGGCCGTGAGTGGAGAGACAGGTCTGCATAATATGAATGACACATGGTTTTCTCCTCTTTCAGCTGATTTCTCATCTAGGCAAATCCCCAAGCACCAACACAACGCATTGTCATCAGGCGTGGGGGTGACAGGGGTTCAATCTTCCTTGGTCCACCAGGGCCAGGAAACAGGCGCTGGCTCTGTGCCCACTGCTCACAATAGCTCATCTGGGACCTGCCTCCAGCTCCAGGGCCTGCTCCAGCATTAGATGTTAATCAGCAATTAGACAACGTGCAGACACTGCTCCTGGGAACAAGAAACTCCCTTCTGCAGCCTACAGGAAATTAGTGTAATAAAACTTACTGCAAGATCTTCCAGGAGAAGAAAGCAATTTTATGATACAAAATCTCAGAGCTGATTTTGCCGTCCCACACTCATCCTTACGGATTTAATTTGATCCCTGTCTCACAGGCACCGACATGTGTGTGCTCAGACGATCTGGCCCGCGTCAATTCTATGCCACAGGTAGCCCAGAGATGACAGCTATGCAGTTCTCATAGTGCCTCTGCGGTGCTTGGCAGAGCACAACAAACTTTGGATTTTGGATTTGCTTTTTACAGCCATTGGAGAGAGGATGCTCTTTTGTCTCCCTTTCCTTTTTATTTTGCTCCTCTTCAGTGAAATTCCTGAATCTCCCAGTTCTTTTGTTTTCTTTATTTGGGTGCTTTATGGCTCCCACCCTGTTCTCTGTCCTCTGGAGACTCTTATCTAAGGTCAATTTGTTCCTCCTCTTCATTTGAATGAAGTCAGACACAGGGTGCTCTACAGCAGTGCACACATGCCTTTCCTTTTAACCCTTGCTCTTCTGTTTCTTCTAGGTGTTTTCACACACTTGCACATTCCCTCTCCTATGTCTTTCATACCAAAATTAACATTTCTACTACAAATCTCCACAACCCCAGCACCTTGACTACAGCTTCATCACGGTTTCTGCAGCCTCCCTGGAGCCTGGTGAATTCCTTCTTTACAGAGAGGCACATTTTTGGTGAAAGAGGTGGGGAAGGGCTTGAAAAGCCTCTTGCCTCCCCAAAACAACCAGGTGATGAGGTCCTTGCTGTGGGAGAGGAGATGCCCCCAGGCACAGGAACCTTTGCAGGTCACAGCAGAACCTCATTGATGGTCCAAAAGAGGCCAGGACTGGAAACAAGGCTACAACATGCGGCCAAAGTTCACCCAGGAGATGGAGATAGGACTGGAGACAGGTATACCTATTACATAGGTGAAGGGCGATCCAGCAGACAGGGTTGGAGACAAAGTCACAACCTGAGTCCAGTGGCCATCACGAGGCCAGAAACAGAGATGGAGACAAACTACCTACAGCATGAGTATGAGGTCCATCCAGGACATGGCTGGAGGTAGGCACACTTACAGCATAGTCCTGGCAAGGACAAAAGGGCGAGGCTTGAGCTTAAATAGGGCTCCTGGACCCATGGCCACCCTCTGAAGAGAGGTCCCTTGTGAGACTGGTCAGGGCAATTAAGGCCTATGCATGCACTCAGGGCATGACAACACGAACCCACTTGTAGAGGAGTCAGCTTATAATGCTGGAGCACTTCAGAGCAACCTTTCTTTAGAGGTACCCTGGTCGCTCCAAACATGGACACATCTTCCAGCATACTCCCAGCAGCCTGGAGAGATCACAGCAGCAATCAGAGTTAAACTTTTTGCCTGAGTAATGACCCCTACTTAAAGCTTCACAATTATTTTCCTGTCAAAATCCTAGAATAAACAAGCAAGACAGAGGGTGAGTCATGCAGACGCTGGAAGGAGGAGGTGTGAGAATACCGATTTCTCTGATACTGACTGAGCATGCACCAGCCAGCAAACCACCTTCACCTTAATGGTTCTGGGAGAGAAGGAAAACGGAAATGTTGACGTCAATGAGAAATGAAAGTTCATAAATCTGATAGCCTGACTGTGACTGCAGGTTGTGGTTAAGTAGGCAGATGAAGGTCCTATTCCAGTAGACACTGCGTCCCAAAGATCATAGAATCATAGAATGGTTAGAGTTGGAAAGGACCTTAAAGATCATCAAGTTCCAACCCCTCTGCCATGGACAGGGACACCTCCCACCAGACCAGGTTGCCCCAAGCCCCACCCACCCTGGCCTTGAACCCCTCCAGGGATGAGGCAGCCACAGCTTCTCTGGGTAACCTGTTCCAGTGCCTCACCCCCCTCAGAGTGGAAAATTTCTTCCTAATATCTAATCTAACCCTGCCCTCTTCCAGTTTGAAGCCATTATCGCTTGTCCTGCCAGATATACCTGGTTATGCACCTGTATTTTCAGAAACTTCAGTAGCTAATGAAAGCTATCTCAGGCCTGTCCCCATGGTCTGCAGCAGAGAATGGCCTATCAAGGTAATGGAGGACATTGAGCTGTTTGGCACTGTAGACAGCAAGGAGGAACAAAGAAGTAACGGTGGCTTGGTTTGCCCATGCAAAAATCCATGTCTGGAGCATCCTTGGATGATGCAAGAATGTTCCTGAATGTCTTCTGGGTAACTCTGATCCAGAGCAACTGAAAGAGTCTTCAGGAGGAGAAACATCCAGGGGTGGGATGATGGGGAAGGGCCAGCATGTAAAGTCAGTCCTCTCATTCAGCCAAGTGGAACAGGACGGTGTGAGTAGGAGTCTTGGGGATGGTGCATCATGGCTCCCTCATGCTTTGCAGCGTAGGAGGCTGGGGCAGCACCTGAGGCAGTGAGAGCCTTTACGTCATGACTACATTGCAGCAGACTGCTGTGGGCAAAGAGACTTGTCCGTCTAAGGGGAAACATACCTTGCAGCAGGGATGGAGAACTTGGGCTCCTGCTCTTTCAGTCTAGAGAAGAGATCATGTCCTCCCAGTCCTCTAGTCTGCAAACTGATACTCCGCATTTTACTCTGAGACACCTTTGGCAGGTGGGACATGGCTCTTCCACAGAGAAGAGAAGTCTGAACACTTCTCATCTCCAGAGAACAATACAACTATTGAAAAGAAAGGACTTTGTCCCCTTCCTGTGACATCTATGCAAGGCTGCTTTAGCAGGTTTGCTCCACAAACCAACTCTGCTCCCCTAACTGGGGAAACACTTCATTTGCAAATCTGACTGGGGTTTAGGTGCCTCGCAGACACCCACGTGCACAACGCTGCCCAGGCTCAGGAAGTCTCACCCAAGCCCCGAAACAAGAAACGTGGCAGTGAAGGAAACTGTTCGCGTGCCACCTGGCTCCACAGAAGCTGAGCAAGTTTTTAGTGGGCCCACGCTTCAAGCTCAAACTCCCAACGTGCCAGTTCAGCACCAAAGCCTTGCAGACCTAGTAATTTCAGTTTTAATTGCTGCACCTGTCTCTGCTAACCAACTCCCTTGACCCTTGCAGGGAGCTGCCATAGTCTTAATTTCCTGATTTTAAGACTAGCCATTCCTCCTCAGCATGCAGGCAAACCTTGCAACAGTCACTCTAGTATCAGTTTGCTTTATGATACAGCTGGCCCCTTATCTCCTTTTCCCTTAAACATGTTTTTGTAGCTGTGTGTACCTTTGCCCAGCACAAACCACATTCCTCCTGCTGGACTCTACCCCTGCTGCCTTTCTTACCGCCTCCCTCTTCTTGTGAAGAGGCATTTTTCACGTTTGCGGTATGAAGCCAATGGTTCAACAAAGCCCTCCAACAACCTCCAAACTTGCAAGACAAGGCCGGAGCATTCAGTGCAGTGTTTTGCTACGCGGTGGTCTAGAACAGAAAGCCCTCCCATAGGAGATGCTGCGTTGAGCTTTGCGGTCTGCTGTCCCACACCATAGCCTTGGTAAGGAGGTGGGAGACACGGGCTTAGACCAGCAAGCTTTCAGAAGGACTTCCTCACCTAGCACATCTTCCACCATAGCTAATTGGTCTCCAGCCACTCTGCCCACCTCTTCCTTTTGCAGTATCCTGTAATTAATTCTGTCCCCGCCCAGCCATTTCGGTAGTATCGGGATGACTCCAGATCCTGTGGTGAGTTGTGTCCCATATGACTCTTAGGTCCTCTCTTTTCCTTCCTAGCAGCAGACAGGTCCTCTTCAGAAAACAGTGGACCTGATAATGTTAAATTTGTATAGGGGAGAGTAACAGAAAGTTGTAGGCCTTTGTGCACTTCTCCGGGGGCCGGGGGAGTGTACAAGACACTGGATGAATGGGAGACCTGAAGGAACACGCTATGCTTTCCTGATACCCAGAAATTAAATCTCAGGTGCTGCACCTCAAAGCAGAGATAAATGCTGTGAGGTTGCTCACATGTGGGCTACAAAAAGCCAGGCTGACTCTTACAGGCACAACGCGAACTTCGTCTGTATGACACAGGGGTCTTGTGAGTGTGTCTGAATTACGGTTGCTCAGGCTACCGCAAAGCTGAAACTTCCCAGTTTTTTTAGTATTTGATTTGTAAACCAGCAAATGAAACAGTCCCGGCAGCCCGTTCCAGTGGAAGATATTAGACCGCAGAAACACACCACTCACAATCAGTTCCTGCTAGAATAACTGGCAATGACAAATAAAAATGAGCCATAGGAGAGACAAGGGAAGTGAGGTTTTGCAGGCACAGACTTGTTTTCCAAGTAGAAGACTCTGAATGCACTCTGGCAAGACAGGAGCTGGAATTTCTTCTGACAGATGCATTTGCTAGCAAATGCTGATTCTGCAGAATTAAACCCATACAGATTTTGTCAAACCTGCTTGTTTCTTCCTGGCTTACCAGCCCTCTCCTCCATTCCCAGGCTTTCTTGACAGCCAACTCCACAGGGTCCCTCCCCCAGTGCCCTCCCTGCAGCTCGTTTCTTAGAGGATTTAGCTGTTTCTGTGGGACGTAGTGAATCTGGGTCACTCCCGCAAACCTTTCTGGTGGACCACCCTATGCTCTGAAGACCCATACTGCCAAGCAGCCCAGGCTGCTGGGTCCTTGTACCTTCAAGCTTCCCAACCCTGTATATCTAATCCCATTTAGGCTCTGGTTAACAGCTAGGGAATTTGGTTCCCTACATGCTTGGGTCTTGCATGCAGGAGACCCAGGCATGAAGGGAGTCCTGCACACAGGAGTTTGCACACACAGGGCACATGTGCCTACAGGGTGGTTGTGAATGAATTGGGTACGTGTACTAAGGGGATGTGTGAATGAAGAGGCGGGGGGTGGGGGGAGCATGAACACAGCACATCCTCGTGGGTGAAGAAAGTCGTGGATGCATGGGGGTTTCACTGTACATAAGTGGGGCTCGGCAGGTGGCTCTCCTACTCCCGTCTCTTCCCTCAGGGGACCCGAAAGGGGGATGGAAAAAGCCTTTTGGGGCAGGGCCAGGGGAGAGCTGGCGTTGCTCCTGAAGAGCTCGCAGCCCTTCAGCAGGCCAGGCGCTGGCACGCCGAACCATCATGGGGACTACCCCGCGCCCTCAGCCCGCCCCTTCCCGGCTCC